ATAGTTATTGAAGGGGAACAACTAGGGAAGGAGTTAAAGAGGGAGTCTTTCCTTAGAGAGTTTATAAGTTTAAGAGAGATGGGAAATTATAATCAAATTGGAAAAGATTTAGTTGAAACACATTACCTTTCGGTTTCAAAATGTAGTTTATTACAAGCGTTAAGTGTTTTAGCAGAACAGTTTTTATGTGAAATCAATGAAACAATGTTTACTGAAAGATATATTCAAGAAGCCTTTTGTTTTCATTCTGCAATTAGTAAATTGATATGTGATGCTTTTTATAATAAATTTAATCCAAAAAATGTCCGTGAAGATATTTATAATGAGAAAATTGCTTTGGCTAAGGAAGCTATTGAAAATATTGACTCAGGAAAATATAAACATGACAAAAGAAGAAAAATTATACTTAGTTTTATTGTTTCATTAGTTGAACATATATTAAAAACTAATTTCTTCTGCATTGATAAATTGGCTATTGGGTTCCGTTTAAGTCCTCATTTCCTTGACCAAATTCCTGAATTTGATAGAACCACAAAATACCCAGAATTACCATTTGGTATTTTTTTCATTTATAACAAAAATTTCTTTGGATTTCAGATTAGATTTAGAGATTTAGCAAGAGGAGGATTAAGAACAGTTATTAATAAAGATATGGAAACCGCATTATTCCAAAAGACAAATATGTTTGGAGAGTGTTACAATTTAGCCTATACCCAACAAAAAAAGAATAAAGATATTCCAGAAGGAGGATCAAAAGGAATTATTTTCTTGTATCCAAATAATATCAAAAATGATATTGAAATTATAAAGAAGAAGTTAATTCTTGAAGGGTGTTCAGGTGATATTGAAGAAATTATAAAGGACTACGAAGATAAAGCAAAAAATGAATATTTATATTCAATGCAAAAATGTTTCTTAAATACCTTTTTAACACTTATTGTTGCTAATAAAGATGGAACGATCAAAGAAAGAAATATTGTTGATTATTATAAACACCCAGAATACATTTATCTTGGTCCAGATGAAAATATGCATGATTGTATGATTGAGTGGCTTGCCAATGAATCTAAAAGAATGGACTATTTTGCAAAGGGTGCATTTATTAGTGGAAAAGAAGAAACTGGTATTAATCATAAAGAATATGGAGTAACTTCTATTGGAGTATTTGAATATGTTAAATTGGGACTAGATTATCTTAAATTAAATAATTATACAATGAAAATTACAGGTGGACCAAATGGTGACGTTGCTGGTAATTTAATTCATTTAGTTAAGAAAGAACATACAGAACGATGTAAAATCACTTCAATTTCATCTTCTGTTTGTGCTATTTTAGATAGTCAAGGAATTGATATTAATGAATTAGACCAATTATTCTTAAAAGGAAAGGCTCTTCAGTACTTTAACACTGAAAAATTACATGATGATGGGTATATGATTCGAATTGATCAAAAGAGAACTTATCAATCTTTTGTTGAACAATTTAAAATATATAATAAAAAGAATGGCAAGGTTGAAGAAAATTGGATTGAAGCTAATAAAGGAATGAAGTTATATGAAACTACTGTTCATCAGAACGTTGTTGATGTTTTTTGTCCATGTGGTGGTAGGCCATATACTTTGAATGAGAATAATGTTCAAAATTTCTTAGTTAATGGTAAACCAACTGCTAAAATGATTGTTGAAGGAGCCAACTTATATCTTACCCCAAAAGCAAGAGATATTTTAGAAAAAAGTGGTGTTTTAATATTTAAAGATTCATCTGCAAATAAATGTGGTGTTGTTTCATCATCATACGAAATATTAGGTGGATTAGCACTTGATGATGATCAGTTCATTGCCATTAAGAAACAGTATGCAAAAGAAATACTTAAACGTCTTGTTGACATTGCTCAAGGAGAAGGAAATTGTATGCTTCAAGCCTATGATGCAAAATACAACTCTAGTCTAGTCAGCATCAGTGAAGAGATAAGTAGAAGAATTAATGAATATACTGACCGTATTCAAGAATTTTTATCACCGTTAAATTTATTTGAAACAAATAACAAGAAATATTTAAATATTTATATAAAGTATATTCCAGAATGTTTGAATCCTTATAAAGAACAGTTAATGACTCGTATTCCACAGATGCACATGAAGGCAATCATTGCAACATCTTTAGCAACTCATTTAGTTTATTCTAAGGGATTAGGATGGCACGTCTCAATTATTGACATTCTCCCTAATCTTCTTTAATTTAGTTTATTCTTTCTTATTCTTTATTGAAATATTAATAATAAATGAAAAACAAAATAAAAAATATACAAAATGGTTAATGTAGAAACTATTCTAAAGAGATATAATTAATATTAGTTTGATTTACTAAAAGAATTGTAAGCTCTTGTTTGTATTATTGTTTATTACAGAGAAAGCATCTTTTTAGATGAAAAATAGTTATTTATTTATGTATATTATAGTCTTATGAGTGTTAAGCAATAAATATAACAGTAGTACTGTTCATTGTATTGAAAAAAATATAAGTTAAGAAAGAAGAATAGACACACATATACTAATAGTCATATTTATTTTTGAAGTTATGCTTTGTCATAGAATTTTAGAAGAAATTAATAATAATTTATTTTGATAAATACGCACAACTGAAGAAGAAAATTAGAAGATAATAGAAAACCTAAAATTTAACAAGTGAATGAATAGTGTTAGAATTAAGCAAATTAAATGGCAGTATAATAAAATGTGTATGGATAAAGTATGATTGATTAAATATTAGTAATGGTATATTTAATTATTTATAATTTTAAAAAGAGTTATAGACATAAAAAAAGATTATATATAAATAAATCAAATAAGATGTATGGAACAGAATATTTAAACTCACTCTAAACATGTTAGTTACAACAAAGTGAAGTTGGAAAGAATATCTTGTTTTGTTGAAAGTATATTTGCAAACCTATAAATACTTGTTGTTATTAATTTGTTTTAGATGGTGATGAAAGTAATCTTGAAACACTTATGTTTAGAATCAATAAACTAAAACATAAAATGTACGTATAGAATCTTACGTTAGTAATTTATTTCATAGACTTAAAGATATGATATTAATCAATATACGTTTGTCTAAAAAACTATTAGAAGAATTAAATATATGTTAATTGTATCAAATGTCTATTGAAAATAAAGGTCTAAAGTTATTTTTAAATGAATTTTTATGAATGATTAATATTATCTTTTATAAAGATAACTTGAGAAGAATATGATATTTTAATTTGTTAATGTTTAATCTTATTTGTATTTATATTTTATTCTTGTTTGATAAAAAAAAACATTTTTTTGTTTCAAATAGTAGCTTTGAAATAATACTGTTCAATTTCATCTAGCAACATTTTTATGATGCTTGGAACTATTTTCAACATAAGCCATTACATATTTTTTATAAAACAAATCTATATTATATTCTTCCTAATATTAATCTCAACTTATGTTGGAAAGTATTTGCACTTATGTATGTATTTGAAAAACGTATTTCTTCTAAATGATTGGAATTATATAATAGTTTATTGTTTATTGTAATTTATATAATTATATTTTCTTTATTGTTGTTTCTAAAAAATGAAACATGAATATTACTTAATTGAACTGAAATTTAGTAAAATAAGGATGACTAAAACATTGTTCAGCAGATGGCCTTTGAAATGGATCAATGAACATCATTTTATTTATTAAATCCTCTTGGTACATTTCAAATTCAGTTGGGTTTGATGGCAAATCTTCTTGAAATATTGATTCTGTTGTGTTAATAAATGGATAATTTTTTAATACTTTTGGATATTTATTATGAGCCATCATATACATTAGAACACCAGTACTCCATATATCAACCCTTTCTGCATAATATGGTTTTTTATTTACAATTGATTGTATAATTTCTGGAGCAATTAAATAATCAGAGTCACAATAAGTAGATGCAAGTCTTGTTTCATCTATTCTTCTACTAAAACTAAAATCAGCTAATTTCAAGGAAAGAGAATCTTCTGATTCAAAAATAATTGTTTGAGGATTAATTCTTCTATGAATAATGTGTTTCTTCTGTAAGTATTGAATTGCTTTAAGAATTTGGTATATTATAAATTGAATATCTTTTGCTTTGAATGGTTGATAAAATAAACGATGACATAAAGTCCCACCTTTAAGAAATGGAGTTATGAGAAATATGTGGTTATTTGTAATTATTGTTTTTAGTAACTTAACTATATACGGAGAATCAATTGATTGAAGTGTATTAATTTCTTTCATATTAATTGGAAATATTTTTTTTCTTATTATTTTAACAAGTAACTCCTCTTTTTGGAAAGAATCTTTTTTAACTAATGCCCTCCTTATGTATTGTTCATTCCCATTAATATATCTTCCAATAAAATAATCATATTGGATTCCACTGCTTTTCATATCTTCTAATTCAACTCTTTTATCAATGAACATATATGATATAGCAACTGAACTCAATGGCTGACACATAGTAATTTCATCATAACAATATATTTCACTGGAATCATTGCATCTATTATGATTAATAAAAGTACCATTAGTACTAGAGTCTACAAGATAAACATGTCCAATAGAGGGGAAATCTTTTTTAACTGTAAAATGATTAAAACTAATCACTGTTTTAGTTTCAAGAAATGATTGATATCCTCTTCCAATTCTTGTCTATATTTATTATTATTTTTATTTTGTTGAATAAGGAGAAAGAAAAGAAACAAACCACATTTTTATTTAATAAAATATCTGGATATGCTTCATTTTGACTTTTTAAAACTCCCCAAAAATCTTCTTCCATTTCCATATTATTCAAATACTTTTTCTAGTTTAAATTTTAAATGATTAAGAAATTAATGACAAGATCTAAGAAAGTAGTATCTAAATTCAAATTAATTAAAATAAAATTATCTAATCTATTTTTAATAACCATTAAACCCAAAAATAAATAATAAATGAAATGATTAATCCCATTCTTTAACCAAATTTTTAATTTTATCTTCTTTATCTTCAACTCTATTATCTTGAATTGTAATTTCAATATATCCATCTTCTTTACTCTCTTCTTTCATTTCTTCAAGTCCTAAAATTCCAATTTTTATTTTTCCAAACATCATTTCAAGTCTTTTCTTCATCTGTTTTCCTTCACTGATTTTATTGCAAATAATAAAAACACCTTTTGGTCTTTGTGAATCAAAATTTTCCCAAAAATCAATACTCTTAATATTTTCTTCTACCCATTCTTTAGCCATTCTTTCTTTATCTTCATCTTCATTACAAATCATATGCATAATTTCACCATCACGTATTTGTTTAAAAATTAAATCATTTTTTGTTTGTGTTCCTTCTTCTTTCTTCTGATTTTGTATTTTCTTTTTTTCGAATTCTTCTTTTAAATTATCTTTATCTACAATTACTGCTTTAGGTCTTGGTGATTTTGAGGATATTGAACTAGTAGATTTCCTTTTTTTAGTTTCTTCAATTATACTAATCACTTTATCATTATCACCTCTTGGACTAACTATTCCATGAATATCATTACTAGTTTTATGTCTAGAAAGACTTGAAAAAGACCCATTAGTACTAAGGTCTTTCATAGTCTTAGATATTGATTTTTTTTGATGTAGTTTCTTTCTTTTAGGTTCTTCTTCAAGTTTACTTCCTGATGAAGTAACAACTCCTATTTTGTCAGTATGTGTTTTTCGTGGTGAATCTGGTGCAGAACCAAGTGTTGGAGTTCTATAAGAACTTCCTCTTGAACCACCAGCTTCACTTGTGTATTCACTTCCATACTGTAATATTTCTGTTGTTTGTCTACTAATTTTAGATGAAGAAGAAACCATTAAACTATTGACCGTTTGATTTATATTAAATAATAAGTTATCAGTTTGAGTTGACCAATTTTTTAATGAAGTTATTTCTTCTATAATTTTTTGTTGTTTATTTTGGCTTTCAATTAGTGTTGTAGACATGTCTTGCTTTAACTTTGATACTTCTTTATTAAAATTATTAAATTTTTCTTCTATAACACAATCAACTGAAGGTCTTTTATCAGAATTTGATTGGACTGTAATTTCTCCTAATTGTTGTTCTTTTAATTTAACTTCTTTTAATTGATTATCTAATTCATTCATTCTATTATCCATATTAACAATACTACTTTTTATTAATTCTCCTAATCCTTCATAACTTTTCATATGCTCTTCTAATGAAGTTATTCTTTTAATCATTTGATTTAATACTTCTTCTGTTTTTTCATTACTTTCTTTAACCTCTGTACATTGATTTATACCTCTTTTAGTTATAACAAGATTTCTTAATTCATTAATTTGATTTACTATATCATCTATCTTTTCTTCATAATTATTTGTAACATTTGTTTTATTGATAACAACATTATCAATTATTTCGCTCATTAATCCTTCCATAAACATTCCACTATAATAAAATTTAATTGTATAACCATTACCAGTTCTTTCAATGCTTTCTATAGAATTTAATACTGAAAGCCCTTCAGTGTTAGAAAATACTTTTAATTTAGTTGAATATTTTCCTATACTTTCTTCTTGTTTATTTTTTAATTCCATTTCAATATACAAATCATCAACTAAAAGATTATTTAATTTTTTTAATTTGAATTCTACTTGATAAACTGATTGTCCATCAACATAGCTCATTATTTTCTCTAATAATACCATCTTTCACTCAGACTTTTTAATATTTTTTTATAGTTTTTTATAGTTCTTTAATGGATTTTATTTTTTGTTTTCTTCAATTAAGAGAAAACAAAACATGAAACAAAATATTTAAGTTACTATAATTTATAATTTATTTTTTTATTATTTATTAGAATAATTCATTAATCAAACATTATTACATATCCAAAGAAGTTCACATTAGAATCACAGAAGGTATCTACATAATTGGCTATATCAAAGACTTGAGTAATGTCATTATTAAAATCTGAAAGTCGGAACCCAATTAGTGTTATTCCTTTTTTAAGTTCTTGTTGAGTTAATGAAAGTACTTCAGATGAAATTTTTGAATGAACCATAAACAATGCACAATCATAATAATAACGATCAACAATACCACCAAACTCAGTAATGAGACCAGAAATAAATTGCTTGTTTCGTTTAACTTTGTGTTCATTTACTTGATCAAAAACATATCTTATTTCTTCTGGGTTCTTTAAATTATTTTGATCAACAAAAACTCCTTTAATTTCAAATGAAGAATAGATAGTATTAATACTAGAAATGCTATCAGGATTCATAGCCATATATACATCAAGTTTTTGATTTATTGCTTTATTATAGAAAGGAACAAAATCATTAAAATACGTTTGATTTGTTGGATTAAAACTTCTAGTATCAATAATAACAGCTCTTAATCGTTCATTTACGTATCGATCAATTGAACTAAGTCCTAAAGATGATTGCATGGCTAAACATTTATTTCTTTCCCAATATACTAATGTCTCAGGCCAACATAATAAAACTATTAATAATATTAATCCAATAAACATTAAACAAAGACCAAATATAACTCCAGTCAACCCACATCGACTAACATTTCGTTGAATAGGTGTTTGAATTTTCTTTAAGATAACCCGTGCGTCTTCCATTAACGTAAACTACTCGTTTCTGAGTTTTTATTTTTAACATAAATTCTTTCAATTTTTGTTAATTCTCTTTTTTATTTTTGCTAAACCATTAAATTATAATAAATTTATTATTAAAATATGGTTTTTAAATATAGGCAAATAAAAACTCAAAATTCGTAAAGAAAGTTTCATGGAATCAGCATTCACCAAATACACCCCAACTGAACCACAATTACCCCCTATGTGTATAACGCTAACCAAATTCCTCACTACGAGAATTCAAGAAACTTACAATGTGTGTAAGAGAGAAAGTCCAACAAATATAAAGAATTGTTTAACTAATCCATTTGAAGCAAGACATAATTATGGGTTAGATAACGAAAGAAATGAATTAATTGTATATAGACATGATATAATAGGGACTTTTAATTCATTTGAAGGAAAAGAATTTTCAATGAACCCCTATACTATTTCAAGGTATGAAGTAATAGAAAAGTTAGGACAAGGAACATTTGGTCAAGTATTTAAATGTTATGATCATATAAATAATAGGTTTTGTGCATTAAAAATATTAAAAAATAAGAAAGCTTATTTAAGACAAGGTCTTTTAGAATGTGCTACATTGTCTATGTTAAATACTTATTTTGATTCTAATAATGAAAGAATAGTTAAGATGTATGATCATTTTATGTATTGTGATCATCTTTGTATTTCATTTGAATTATTAAATCAAAACCTTTATCAATATGCTAAAGAAAGAAGACATATTGGATTAGAATTAAATGATATTCAAAAGAAACTAATTCAACTATTAAAGGCAGTAGAATGTTGTAGTAAAGCAGGAATTATTCATTGTGATGTTAAACCAGAAAATATTTTGATGACAGAAAATGGAGAGTTAAAATTAATTGATCTTGGTAGTTCATGTTTTGAAAATTATACATTGTATAGTTATATTCAGTCAAGGCATTATAGAGCACCAGAGGTAGTATTTAATAATAGATATAATAATGCAATTGATATGTGGTCAGTTGGATGTATTATTGCAGAATTATTTTTAGGAGTACCTTTATTTCCTGCTGATAGTGAATTTGATTTAATTGTAAGATTTGTAGAAATGCTTGGAATGCCATCTGATGAATTTATTAAAAATGGAAAAATTGCTGATCGTTATTTTAAATTAGTTAAAAGGACTAACAAATATAGACTAAAAGAATCGTTTGAATTTGAATGGGAAAATAATATTAAATTACCTCCTCATAAAAATTATTTATATTATTCTTCACTTCATGATGTTATTATGAAAAACCCAATGAAATTAAGTTTAAATACGAAAGAAAATAATTTTATTATACGAGAGTGTTTACTTGATCTTCTTCAAAGAATACTTGTATATGATCCAAAAGAAAGACTTACACCAAACCAAGCATTAAATCATCCATTTTTTACTTTTAAAAATATTAATGATGTTACACCAAAAGATTTTTATGAATGGACTCCTCCTGAAAGAGAATTTCCTTTTAAAGTTTATGGTCATTCAGTTTCTGCAGACCCTGAAGATATGTTATCAGATGCTTTTGAAAATAAAGTTATTATTAATAAAAAATTAACTAATTCAGAATATTACAATGTTTTCTTCACATTATTACAAGCTGGACATGTACCTAATATTACTATTGACAATCCTTTTGAATATGGAAGCATTACACCAAAACAATTTATTAGAGTATTTAATCATCAATTTTCAAAACCTTCTATTCCTAAAGTTTCTACTGATGTTCCACGTTCATTTGTAGCTCAAATATATTCTGTACCAGATTCTTTTAATTCTGTTACTATTAAAAAAGAAGAAAATCCATTAACAATAAAACATTGTAACCAAAGTAAAATTATAATTCATCGAATGACAGATAATAAATAAAGTAAACACAAAATAACTATTACAAAGTGTAATCAACTGTATTTTGTCTAGTAAAAATTAACCAATACTAATTTCAAATACTCATTCTTTTAAATTATTTTATTTATCTCTATTTTGAATAGCAAAGAAATTAACTTCTTGATTTTGATCAGTAGATAAACTGTCATTTGAAATTAATGATTGATTTTCTGTTCTTATCTCATTAAATTGGACATTTTCTGTATTTTTTTCAGGTAATGCTGGGGCAACTTTTGATTTAGTAAGATTTATTTCATTATCACTTTCTTTACTTTTTTTATTCTTTTTAATACATCTACTATAAATAAAAATACCAGGAAGAAGTAACTATCCATCTTAGTTAATTCTTTTCTTTTATTATCTTATTTAATTAAAACATAAATAACAAACACTTATTAATGTCCCAAAAGAATTAATAATCGGTGATGCAATGAAAACCCAAGAAGAACAACTTCCTTGTTGAAATTTTGATTTATAAGTTTGACATGCAGATGATCCACTATGAATATCTTTCGATTGTAAAAAAGTTAATATAATTAATCCAATAGGAACTAATAACGATGGACCTAACGCTACAAGTACAAGTAACTTTTTCCTCTTTAAATAAAGTATTAATGCTATTAATTCACAAATAAATATCGCTACAAGAGTCATATAAGTTATTACACTTGTTGTGGTTGTAAACCCACATTGATAACTAAATCCATTGACAGTTAAACGAATAGAATGAGCTTCAATATCCCCACATGAAACTACTTCAGAATTATTTAAAATACTTTTTCCAGTTGCTTTATTATATGTATGGCGTGGAACACCAAAACTAAATGCTACAAAACTTCCTATTAAAAATAAACAAGTAACACAAATTAGTCCAATAGTTACATAAAACCATTTGGATTTATTCATTTGAATTTAATAAAAAGAACAATTTAAGTTCTTTTTGTTTTTATTTTCAAAAGTTATAACTTTGGATATTTTTATTTGTCATTTTTCTAAGAAATTAATAATTAAAATAATTTATTTTATTATACTTATATTTTCCATTTCCCCATAAACCAAAAAAAAAGATAATTGGATTTAAAAGATATTAAAACATTTCAAAAAATATTTTAAACTTCAAAAAAAACAATAAAATATCTTAACAATTATATTATTTTTTAATATTATGACAGTTTTCATTTTTAGTTTAAAAATACTTCTTTTTTTAATTACAAAAAATAAAATTGATGAATGGAATTTAAATAAAGCCATAACTATATAACTAATTTGATCTTTTTGTTATCAAAAACTACTATTATTGATAATGAAAATATTTTATGTTTTTCTTAAAATCATTCATTAAATTTTAAATATTCTTTATTAATATAATGATAGAATATTATTACTTTATTCATTATAAAGGATAAAATCAAAAAGAGTCAAAATTGACTGTTTTTGCTTTTATGATACAAGTTAATATAATATTTTTGAATAAAATAAATAAGTTACATTAATTGAATAACTTCCTTCATTATATTTAGTAATTAAATAATTTATTAAAACTTTATCTGAATAATAAGTATATTCATTCATTAGTAGAACAATTTATTGTCATTTATTGACTAATCATTATTAAGTACTATTAGTGGTTTGAACAAAATATGTAGTACAAAGCAAATAAATAAAATTCTTAATTAATATGTCTGAGTTGAAATAAATAGACTAAAAATATCTTCCTTTCTAATTTACTATATATATATTTTTATTAATTAGTATTATATTTAAAATATTATACTTAGGAATTACTCTCTTTTTAAATCGCTTACAAGAAAGGTTTTTCTTTTCTAATTTGCAAATTTGTCATAGAATAAAATTTTTTTACCTTAATTCTTTCTTACAATAGTGAAATACATTTTCTTCAATTTAATACAAAAAAAATTATTTAAGTGCTTATAGGATAATAACGTTTAAAATTGCATATAACCCTTCATTAACAAATTATATGGTATATTAAATTTATCTGGAATCGTTCAAATAATTCCTATTTGAAATTGGCAAATACTTACTAATTTACCTACGACATAACACTTATTTTTGTAAATAGATATGACAAAATATGTGTTAACAATGAAGAAATTATCAGATTATCTGAATCATAACATTTAAAAACGTCAACAGGTATTTTGATTCAGTCAACAAAATGGAATTTCTTTTAATAAAAAAAGCAATATAAACTAATTTCATTCTACCATCAATATTCTATTATTCCAGAAATAACTTCATTCTTGTTAAAGTCTGAGTTGATTGAAGATATAAAAGTATTGAATAGTTTTTAATTTTTTAGAGATTGTTCAATTCTTTGCATTGAGTCAATTTCATTTTGTGAATAGTATTTCACAAGTAATTAGTGTCATTACATTTTATCTGTTTAAACGAAAGAGATAAATTAATGGGGATTACTGCTATTTTCTTAAACTCATTAAAATATAATTGAGTTATACACTACTATCAAATAGAACTTCTATTTTATTACATTATAATAAAAGGACAATAAAAGAAGTAGTTTCTTGGAAGTGTTTAATAGATAATGTCTTGTAATATTACAACTACCTATATTGGAATTAACATCAATACTAGAACTTTGTTGGACTAAACTATAAAATATAAAATTTTTAATAACAACAATAAATTAAAAGAATATCAAGTCTGATGTTATGTTTTATATTATTTTATAAAATAAAAGTAATTTAGGAAATAATTATAAATAGTATCTTTTCTAAACCTTTTTCAAATTTTTATGTTTTAGAGAATGGATGATGTTTTTTTACTCAAAAAAGAAAAGAAAAAAGAAACTTAAAAA